TTTTACGATTTTAGTTTCATCATTTATGCTTCATCTTACAAGATGTATATGTATACGCGTTCTGTGTCAAAGCGGCGATGGGGCGGTAGCAACAGCAGCAGAACCAACTGCAGCAGCGATGGTATCGCATTCCAAACGAGACTCCAGACACTTTAGCCGACGCTGTCGCGTGTCTCGGGACGGCGAGCGTTATTTTTCTCCCATCCGTGTTTACACACGCTCCCGTGCAAACACCTTGCGTATCGCTCCGCGTGGCGATTGGTATGCGACTGGGAAGGTCGACACTCGAGATCTGCGTACGCTGCAAACGATAAATATCTGCGCGACCAACTCCAAGTTGGCCATTAGACGCGATCCTTTCCGATCGCGACACCCCGGATCGCGAAGTTAGCGCGTCGTTCAATAAAAAAAATATAATGACAGTTCCAGTAACACTCTTTTCATAGTTCTACAGTTCCTCCGTGAAAGTAAAAAAAATTTCGTAATGTAGAAGACGTCACTTGGAAAAGAAGTGTTGTGCTAATAATTTAATCGTAATTCCTGCGTTATTCATTTCTCGTTAATTTTAGAATTCTACGCTCTACATTTTAACAGAGAGTTGCAGCTACTACTTTTCCAATTTTGATTTTTTATACTAAAAATAATATTTTTATAGTATAAAAAATGCGGAAGTCCTTTTTATTTTAAAAAGAACTATACAACTCTATGAAAAGCCGCGCTACTGGAACTGTCGTTATTTTTTTTTTTTTTTTATTAATTTAACGAACTGGAAGTTATCTGCACCGTCTGGCAGTGCAAAGGACGGCGGGATAATTCTCGTGGCATGGTGCGGTCGCCGGCATCAATTCATTGAGAGGTTTTTCTTAGTCGAGCTGAAATCCTTGAAAACGAGAACGATTACGAAAATAAAAGACTCGCGGACGTACGTCGCGACGTGAAATATTATGTCTGTCTCTCTCTCTCCCTCTCCCTCTCTATCTCGGATATAGAGAAATGAGGACACTTAAGAGCCGCGGCAAGCTGCAGTCAATTCCGTAATTGCTTCTTTATCGTGATCTTCAGAGAACCGACAGAATTGCTTTATTACAGGGCTTTCGGTCTGCTTCCAATTTTCCGAGCTACATACGCCGCCCGCCGCGCGTCTCTGCGTGGCCCACATTTAGTGACTGCGTTTATTGTATGTATCGCGCGCGGGACGCACCTCACGATTCTCGCTAACTCGTCCCTCGCTAGCTCGTTTCCTCCCCGTGGCATTTATCCCCACGATTTATCCCTTCCCACGATAGCGACGCGATCGTCGGATCGAGAAGCGCTCTTACTTCAACATCGAGAATTCCGACAGCAAATGACGGATTTAATGCGCTCGCTGTACCTATTAAATTAAATTGTCCGTTTCCGTACGCTTGAAACTCGCGAAATCTCCTCGTTAAATCACTTGGAACCTCGAAACACAATCTCTCGATTTGCGCCGCAAGTGCCTCGGTGCATCGAAAGAAAGCGAGTAGATCTGCTTTTTGTTGCTGTCTCTGAACTACACTAAAACTTTTTTATTTTGTTTTCGTTAAACTTCAAACAGATATATAACCTATTTTTTATTTATTTTTTTATGCATCTATTTGTATTTTAAGTACATATTGAAAACTATGTTTTGTTGCATTCATTGAAATTCAGGTAGATTCAATCAGAAAGGTGTTGGTCAAACATTTGTTAAATGTATCAAACATTCCAGTCGAGATAACCAGAAATTCAATTATGATTCATATGATCAGAATTCGTTTTGTAATTTGTTTATACTTCTTGTTAATCAACCAGAATATTTTTCTCAGCGTGATTCAGAAACGTATAAATCAGACACTTTAAAGTCTGCAGAAAGTACGCATAAGATGCGTACTTTCCTGTTTGCGTTTTAATAGATTATTAGAAATTCTTTGTTCTGTGTAATGTAATTGTAATAATTTAATTATAAAACGCAAGAAATCTAACAGGAAAATGCATCATATGGCCGCAACCTTTACAGTTTAATCTACTCAAACATTCTAGCTAGAGATAACCAGAAATTCAATTACGATAACTAGAACTCTAATTGATATGATTAGAATTTTTTGTTTGTACTTCTTGTTGATACAAAACATTTCACAAATCAAAACATTTTGTTCAATGCAACAGGTGTACTCTATATAGTTCAGCCACAAAGAACAGACCTCTCTCCTCGTACGCGATCCCCCAAATATCCAGAGGATTTCCAGTAACGGCAGTCGCCTCTCGAGACACCCTGTATATCCGGCGTATCTACCTCGCGGTTGATTTCGCGCTTCTGGTCCGCGATGCGATAACTCGATGGGGAATAAAACGCACAACGCGACGGCGACAGCCAGAAACTGCTGAAAGACCGCAGACGATCGCAGATAAACATGAAAATTCGACGGCGACGACGACGACGACGACGACGACGGTGGCGACGGCGGGCGACGCGACAGGCGTCCTTGCTCCAACCACTCGCGCTACTACCGATGACGTAATCGTCGCGATACCCCGCAATCTTGGCGCCGCGGTAAACTCGTAATATCTATTTTTATCTGTGGTGGAAGCAAGGGGCTCCCCGATTCCCCGCCGCCGTCGCCCGCCTGCGTCCCATCTTTCTCTTTCCCGTGCGTGACGCTGCTCTACGCACACACACACACACACACACGCCAGCTCGTCGTGTGTCGTGTAGACCCGTGAGAAGAGAGAGCCAGACCGAGTCAAGCCTCGAGATGTCCGAGCGGAGCCTCGGAAATCGAACGATGTTTATTGCGGTCGCGATAAGGCTGTTTTCGGTCGCATCGCGTATTTTCGTGCCATAGCTTCCGATCTGATGAATTTCTGAATCTTCTTGTTCCTTTGGCTTCCGGGACTCTGCTACACTCGTCGATCGCGTTACCGATCATCGGCAAGAAATCGCGAACGTGGGAGATCATCCTCAACGGCTGCGCGCTAGGTGACGCAAAATTACTCGTTCGGAATCACGTCGCGGAGCGGAAGAATATAAAAAAAGAGTAAGCAAAGGATTTTAACATTGAAATATTTAATTGATGTTAATTTTTGTATAATTTTATGAATGAAATTACCATGCAGATTTATTCATTAAACTCTTCAAAAAAATTTAAATTTATTTATTAATGTGATAAAAATGATAATAAAAAAATGATAAAAATAACTCAAATTGGATATAATTTGATTATGAATTTAAAATTAATCGTCCAACATTCTACACAAGAAATTGTACTCAACGTGAATTGAAAATTATCTCACATGTTCATTATTTAAAATCATTATAACGAAAGCTTTCATTGACATCATAATTTATAATGGCTTTTCCATTCTAAGCTTAAAATGGATCTTAATTTATATTTTATTTACATGTAATGTGTAACATTAAAATATAATATTAGATGTTATTAAATATGAAATAAATAATGATAAATGTCAAACTGATGAAAGTAAAGATTAAAATAATATTTAATATCGAATCGATAAAAATATATACATATATAAGGAAAAATTATTATGTAAATATTAAATGACCCTCCATAATATTAAATATTAAATCGATAAGAATAATATTAAGACCGTGTATAACACGACGTACTAAGACGTTAACACCGGATGGCCGTGTTAACATTAATCCGTGACTGTCTCGTGTCATTGTATTCTGGGCTCAAAACAAATCGGCACTCGATGTTGCACCATCGGTACGTCTTATGTCTTCCTCCGTCTCCGAATTCTTATTTCACTCAGCCGCTACATCCGGCCTGCGGGATCCTGGCGCCGATCCCAGGCGACGGTGACGCCGCCGGAGATGCTGTGACGATTAAAAGCATGAGAGATTTGCCGGCGTCCCTTTGTAATCTCTCGGTGTAAACCTCTTTACCGGAAAGGACCACTCGTTAACAAAGAATCCCGAAGAGAAACGTCTCGTCGGGCCGACATCCGGTAGATAAAATGTTCGGAAAAGCATTCCGAATATTACTTTCGACAGACGCGATTAGGAGAAAGACAATGCTCTAACCTTTTACGGTCATAGAAGTATATAGTCTGGCTTGTGCTCGATAAAGTCTGTCATTTTTACTGAAGGTATGTCATGCCTGTTTCATACCTGAAACGTATAGCGATTATTATTTACAGATATGACAGGGCAGATAAGAAAAATAGTTTTTGAACAATAGTGATGAGAGATAGATTTAAACTTTTTTTCTGAGCTGACAACAATAGCGGAAGTCTCGGTATTATTCTTCTTGACTGGATAGAGCTAGGCAGAATAGACTAGAAGTATCCTATACTGTATCCTGCTTCTGTCTATGGCCGTGTCTATTCCCATTACACCGCCAGAACTGAAAATCTATACATAACATATTGTAGATTTTTAGTACTGATGTATATCGGAAATTTGAAACATGGCTTATTATGACAAATTTGATTGGACTTATCCAGTATATTCTGGTGCACATTAAAGCTATCATACATAGATTGATGCGTGTTTAATTAAATATAGAAATTTGATTGAGTTTTGATTAAACCAAAATCCTCAATACACATTATTATGCTGTTATTATTTTATAATTCGAATATTTACATTTTATTTTTATACTTAGGTTAAATCGTCACGCAAAGGCAGCTTAATAAAAGACTTTTGAAAGATCACATTCATAAAATATATAAAAAAATTTTTATGTCTTTTTACATTTTTTTTTTAGCATATAATAATGCATTCATATTATTTCGCATTTATTTATCACAATTCGATCGTATTTTAGAAGAAGAAATTTAATATATTTGATACAATTGTATTGATAACGACTTTTTAATTCGTAAATGACAAGCACAAAAAAAATATAAGTAGTGTTGATAAACAATACTGAATGTCGTAAACGATTTACGGTCATTGATCGATGACAAACAATAGTAACTCTTATCATATTTTAGATCAATTTTAAATGTTCCTTTTTTTTTATTGTTTACAGGTGAGACAGGACAGAGGGAATGGTGCACCTTGGCGTACTGGGAATTGGGCGGCCGAGTTGGTCGTTTGTATCCCGTGGAACCATCGACAGTGAATGTCTTCGACTCTCTTCATGATGGCGACGGTCTCTGTTTAGCGACTCTGGTTGAAAATCACAATGCTCCGCCCGCGGTCCAGCGTACGCGCAGCAAAATCGGTCTTGGTAAGTCCGATCTCAGAAATTTTTTTTCAAGATTTGGTTCATTTTACTCTATCATCATATACTTTTCATAATAAAATTCCCATCTAAAGAATTTAGAGAGTTTATAAAACACTTTTAATTCTTTATTGTACAACTTATATTTAAAATAAAAAATATTTTTAAAAAGCATAATGTATATCCACTTGATAGTACTAATTCCTAAAGATCTCAATATATAGATAAGAAAAATCCCATTTTTTAATTGTAGGGCTAACGCTCAGTCAGGAAGCGGACGGTGTATGGGCGTACAATCGGTCGGAGAGCCCAATCTTCGTGAACTCGCCCACCTTGGACGATCCGGAATCGAGGACGTTACTGGTTTACCGAGTGCCACCGGGTTTCTGTCTCAACATCTTTGACCGCGCCAAGATCATGCAGCTTCCATACGGCGGCGGCGGCGGTCAGGCCGCTGGTTTTACCACCTCCGGCCCCGTCGACATTAACTCCGTCCGCATCAGCTTCGCCAAAGGCTGGGGACCCAAGTATTCGCGGCAGGAAGTCACTTCCTGTCCGTGTTGGCTCGAGGTGCTCCTGGCGCCGTGTAGGTGATTATCCCCAAGACTGGCCAGGCCGAAGAGTATCGTCAAGTCCCGTTTTCAACTCGCGCCTCTTGCTCCTCCTCGTCGTCATCGTCATCGTTGTCGTCGTTGTTCTCGAAGAGGATCGGTGATAATGATGCGGCGACCGTGGCCTTTAGCTCCGTCCTAGCGAGAGCTGTGTTAATAATAAATAAAAAGAACACGTGTGTGTGTGCGCCGGGGGCGATCCTCAGCAGCACGTGCCGGGGTCGTCCCAACAACCCCAGCAGTCTTACCAAAGTACACGCCGTTAAAATAATACGTTTAGGAACAACGTCGCGTTCCACTTTCGTCAATAGAATGAGAGACGGGAACGAACGAGATCGTTCGCGAGCGTGTTCATCGAGCGCGTATGAACGGAGAGATTCACATCGAGACTTATACGAATGGGACTTAGGATCATTATGATGTGTGCGTTTGATTCGTAGTTTTTCTTTTTTTAATTTTATTCTCTGATTGCTTAGGCGTCGATGCTATTCTCGAGATTCGTGTGAGAATTTCCGACAGAGGAAGCGCAGAGAGTTCCGGTAGGGCTTCCGGTAGGTCTAGTCACTTGCGTTTATGGTCTACGCGCGCTAACTCGCGAATCGCGCGCGTGGATTCTGAATTCAACATGGCAGGGAAAATTCTTAGTCTCGTAAAGATGAAGCATGGAGCAAAGAGTAACATCGACGAAACAGAGAAGATAAACAGTAGATAAAGAGTATCTATTTCATGATCGCTCTTTAAAAAATATTTTTTGGATAATCGCTTTTGTCAGTTGTTTAAAAAAATTCAGAGAACAGCAGGGATTTATTGGCATTTAATAATAAACAAAGAAGATAGTTATTCAATACACGTAGCACAGAAAATAATTGAACATCCCTGTTCTTTGATAATTTTTGATAAGTTAAAAAGAAACTTATCATGAATTTTTTTTGTACATAAATTCGTTATTTCGTAGAACTTATGTTATTGACAAAAGAGATAAATTAACGTTTAAAATTAAACGTTAAAGATTTAGAACTTTGTAAAAATAATCATGCTATATTAATCATGTTTGATATATACATATATATTTAAATTTTTTAATTGTAATTGCAATTTTCTTTACAAGTTTTTATACAGATTGCAAACTTTCTCTAAGATATCGTTATTTTAAGAAAGTTAAAAATATACAAAACGAAACGGAATCTTAAGTAACATAATAATATAAATATAAATTGATGAGTTTTTATATATTATGAATTAATTTTTATTTAAATAAGATATTTATTAATTGATGTATTAATTTTAATTTTCGAAATAGAGAAAAAATCGTGGCTGCTACAGTAACATAAGTTCTATGGCGAGTCCTATGTCGCGAGAGGACCTGTACTGAATCGAATAGTCGCGTGATCGATTTAAAATTGAAAGCGATTGATGTGCCACGAGTCCCGGGTGTATTATCTCCGATCGTCGTTCGGTGCTGTACATACGTATAGTACATGTACATACACTGTGCCTTCCCAGCTTCCCTTCTTGGTGCAGCGCGTACTCTCGGGAAATAAAAGTGCGCCACGTGCCAAGCTCGTTTCGCATGAAAAAAGAAAAAAAATTATGCCTCCTGATTCGGAGCTTTATACTACAGTAATACGATGTACTGTGATAAGAGTTTGACCGCGAGTCTTTTCTTTCTTCCTTTTTTTACGATTACGAAACAAGCGAAACAACAGAAAGAGAGAGAGAGAGAGAGAGAGAGAGAGAGAGAGAGAGAGAGAGAGAGATGTTCGCATATAACGGTTAATTAACGATTAATTAACGGTTAATTAACGGAAGAGATTCTGTACATCGGAAATGAGGAATGAGGTATCGCTGATAGTTTCACGAGGATCATCTCTTAGCTTACAATTAGTCGCGCTAGTCGTCGAAACATTTCGACCAAGATGAAGGATGGCTTCTGTATTGTTTTTTATTTTCTTCTGGCTGTAGCTATGCACGCCTCGTTGACTTCCGATGTACGGAAATTTTACTTGAAGAAGATTATACACGAGACGCATATATACGGACATTTTTTTTACATACTCTGTAGAATATACGAATGAATTTGAAAAAAGGAAAGAGCGTACACGGTGTTCAGAACAATGTGTTTAAGTGCATACGATATAAACGTGTACCATCATACGTATTCATTCACGCAAGTACACGATACACAATACACATACACGCGTACATGAAACACACATACACAACATATACAATCGACTGATCGACCCTTACTTTACTTTCGTACTACCGCTTTTATCGAACGTAAAAGTGGCCGTTACTTTGTAATAATTGAACGGATTAAGAGCTACGAGAAACGATATATTGTGATGCGTATACGCCGCTTAAATGTTATATATTGATATGTATACAGAGACGTATACAAAAGATGTTCATAGGTAGCTAACTGTGTGTGTGTGTTGTGTGTGTGTGTGTGTGTGTGTGAGAGAGAGAGAGAGAGAGAGAGAGAGAAAGAGAGCGCGACAGTCGGGTTGGATCATCGGCGAAAATAATTGTAACGAGGAATGAGGGGACGTCCGCCGGCAGATTGTTCGCTTTGGATGACTCCGGTTTGTTTTTCGTAGTCTCTTTTCCCGCTGTTTTCCAACACGTTGTTGTGGTCGAGATCCATCTTTGCCTCTTGTGCCACGAATTAAGAACGTGCGCACCGCCTTGGAATGTGTTTGAAATGCTGTTACGTGCCTCTATCCGCGCGATGTAAGAGCTGCATTTGACAATTTATGAGACAGACACGTCATTCGTATCCTCAAGGGAATCCGATTACAAGTAATTTAAACCTACCGTCTTGAGCTTGAGGTACTAATATTTGTCAGCGACGTCCGTGTCCTTATATTCGTATATTATGATAATGTTATATTTGCAATAAATCGAAAAAAGACGACCAGTATAAATACGATAAGAATAATTTAGAAATAAAAAAAGGACTAATTAATTAACGAAAAATGTAATATGATGCGAGGAGTCGGTAATTCGTGTCGATTCGCAGATCTATGCCGTGGCGTATATTACGCGTACGCATACAAAATACGTAATGATTCATATTTGTACCTCTTTGTGCTCGTTTTATCGCGCTCAAGCATTCAAAAGAGCCGTCGCGGTCGTACGTTAGGAACAAAAAGAAACTTACGAAGGCGCACTCTAAAATTAATGGTAGGACAGTCCTACGACATAAATATCGCTGCGGGGACGTTCGGACGTCTTCTTCCCCTGCGACATGCCTCGTCGCGATAAATGCGAGAGCGATTTCTCTTTTGTCTCGAGAATTTCGAGAGAGAAACGATCGTGAAAATGCGAAAAAAAATCGTATAAATCTCTCCTGGAAAAAACTTTGAAGAAGAAAAAACATCTACGCTTACAGAAAGTCCAATAGCAAACTCTCGCTTTAATAAATCTGATTAATGAATTATTATCGAAAAAAGAAGCAAGAAAATAAGTTTATTTCATGATATTCTTTTTTTTTCTCGAATCTTTTATCTCATGTGAATTAAAATTTTACGGAGTTTCGTTTCTGTCTGTTTGGATGATTTTTAATAGAACGCTATTATTATAATTATGTTTTCTGTATCATTGTCAATCTCGTCGACATTCTGCATACTGCTCTATCTTTCGTTTTTTTCGAAATATCTGTAGATACATAAAAGTGTTACTTATAGATTGTATCTATACATAATATAAAGTGTGGAGAAATCTTTCGGGTTTCTTGATAATTTTCGTGAATTTTTGTAGCGTCGTAAAAATGATCGAAAGCACGAGTCTACACTGATCTAAGTGGAAAAGGAGGTTCGGATGTGAATAATGTAATATACATCTTCGATGAAGATTTTTTTCAAATAAGAAAGACTAAATACATCTGTTGTGTACATTCGTAAACTGCGTGGAACGTTTTTGCATTTCGACTGAAACATAGAAAACATAGATTCATCTGCATGGATTGTCTTCTTCACTCTACCTCTTCGTTTTGCTTTCTTTTTCCTTTCATATCCTTTCGCGCTTTATTAGTTTATCCTTTTTTTACAATCCGCTTTTTTGATCTTTTATTCATTTAATCTTGATATATTATCTTTTATTTACTTGATTTTCGGTGATTATCAATGCGAACTGTTTTGTCTAAAAATTATATGTATATATATATATATATATATATCATTCAAATATATATATATATATATATACTTTTTTTTCCAAATTATATTTTTTACTAATAATTTTTTAATACATTTTTCATCCGATGTTTTCTTTAACATAAAAGTTAATCTGTATGGAATACAGATTAATATCAATTTTATTTCACGCGCGCGTAATGAGAGAGATTGTTACGTCGGCAAATGACTGTTTTTCTGAAGCACGTCAAGCAAGACTGAGCTTTCTGATTAAGAATAATTTATTCTTACGCCTATTCGTTGTGAGATTTATCTCAAACAGAACGATTGGCTTTCACCAATAAAAGAGCCGGTCACTTGTTCGACGAGTTACTGTTTCTCTCGGGCGACGCGACGTGCTATTATCTAGTAGTAGTAATAACGAGAGAGTAATAACATTAATGTTAACGACCGAACGACAATTAGAGCCGTTTGCTAGCGTCTACTAATTCATAACTGCTATCGGCCGACCGACCACTCCACGTGTCTGTGGGCTAGGTTTAAATAATCTTTAAACCATAGACACACAACATGCAATACGATAGTTCCTCGTTAGCGAGATTAGATGCCTTCAAGTCTTATTTAATTGACGGTTTATCATTAAGATCAGAATTTGATTTCAAAATTTCTTCGTGCGGAGAAAAAAAAAATACGTGACAATAAAATAAAATGAGGTTGCCGTGGGAGTAGCGGAGGGGGGGAGGAGTTCCACGGGAAATATTCGTAGATGGAAGTAAAATGGAACGACGAATTAAAGGTAAAATTGCACAAATGAATGAATGAAGGCAGCTGATTTCCCTATAAGGACCCTACGTCTGTGACACATAGTGCCTTTATATAGCCGTTCACTGTTTACATTTAATTAGTGTTTAGAACGAGAGAGACAATTAGCGGTTATCAGCGTATCCGTAAATACTACTGTTACAGATAAGTACTGTAAGCGCTTCATCAGCATCAGGTATTACGATATTTCCATATTTTTGGAAAAGAAAGAAAAGTAAGAGGAAGCTCTCGGTTCATACGTATCTTTCCTCTTTCCAAATTCATTCATCTTGTCTCCTCTTCATTCGAAATTAACAGTATACACCAAATGGACTGAACTTTGAGTAAAAAGAACAAGAGAGAAAAGATTTTGAATTATAAATCTATAGATGAATCTATAGATGAATTTCGACGATTCCTACCGTGTCCTACGTTCTGGGGGTACATTTTAAGCCCGTTAGAATGTAACGAATAAACGAATAGTGCCTTACCACGAGATATTGTGCTTTTTAAAAGTTCAAATAGTTGGAGAGTAGAGAGACACGCTTTATAATACGGACAACTTAGATTTTTCCCAATCGCGAATGCGCGCTTCAAATCGTAGCCTTGCGAAATTGATAAAAAATTTATTCTTCGCAGATGATTTATCGATTGTGATCGTCTCTTTAAAGATCGATCGATTTTTATCACAAATTCGTCGACGAATTTGGAAACTCAAAGAAAAAATGACCTAAGAAGTAACATTTCTAATTGCTTGCGTTTGATTGAGAAAAATTCTCGACAAATTATTGGATAGTTTCTATAATAATTTTGAAAATACTAGTTTGGATATGAAAATAAGAAAAATATAAAATCTTTAAATATTAATAATTAATATTGGAATATAAATTCTTTAAATAGTAATTATACAATATATTTTATTTTTTAGGACATAATTTTATTAATCGTTCGCTGTAACAACAGTTTCGAAATTCGTCGATGCAAATATTGGCGTTAATTTTTTTGTTTAACTTTCGAATTTGGAATTAAGTCACGACGCAGACGAGC